AGGTCAATTTGGCTTACAATTGCATTGGGATAATGCATGATCAGTCGAACTTCGCCAGCATGCCTATGGATGAAAAATATAACATGCGTCACGTGATGTCAAAGGAAGTCAGGTCGAAACGGACAGAATGAAAGAAAATCATAAAAAACGCACGAGTTAAGACGTCAAATTGGTCATGTACAAGTAGAGCTTGTCACGTTAGGGCGTTAATTTGTAAAAATTGACATCTTTTCGGACGGAATACATTATTTACACAATTACTTGCGAAATGGAAATCTATCAAGGAAAATTACAACATTCAACATTATCAACTTAAACGAGAGATACAACTTGATTGTACTGCGGAAGCCAAGTCAAAGAAAAAACACCATTAATTCTAATAGTACATCTCAAAATGTCAAATTACTTCAGTTAAAGTCCACACAAAAAACATAGTTTACTTTCTATGTGAGAACATAAAAGCTCATTAGAAAACCATGAACAATCAACTAATTTTAAGTGAGTAATTGAAGTTCTTTTAATATCAAATAATAACGAACCACCAGAAGAAACAACCAACAAAATGAAATGAATCACACAACAACCATTCTCTCACACACATCCTAATGTCAAATAACTCTACTAAAACTCCACACGAAAATGTAGTATATTTTCCATAACACAAAAGAGCTCATTAGAAAAAACATTAATAGACAAATAATTTTAAGTGAGTAAATGAAAATTCTTTTATAACAAATAACAGGAATCATAGTTCACACACAATAACCATTCTCCCACAAATCCAAGAACACGATCGTTTAAATATAGCTCAGCAAATATAGTTTTAAATACCTTCCTCTTTTATCCTGAAGAGGCCATGAGCTATCGTCATAACCCTGAGACAGAACTTTCTGCAACTGAATCCTGAATATATACGAAAATTTCGAGATCAAATCAAACCCATGTGAAAGTAATTCACAAAACGGGTATCTATATAACAAGAATATCGATCTTACTTTCCACTTCCGATAAAATCGTCGAAAGTGATAGTGTTGCTGTTCCAAACCACAACAGAGATCTCTCTTAGACCTTCTATCAAGGTAAACACGAATTTCTCTTGAAACGTAGGGTTTTTACCTCCATCTACACATAATTTTTTCACCAATAAAAGTTTTTCATTCTTGTTCATGAAAAAAACAAAAGATTACCAAAAAAAAAACATACAAATTCCACAAGAAAATCTACCTGTACAAGTACGAGTCCGATGTTTACTGCTAGCATATTCGAGACAAACGTAGGGATCTTGCCTAGAAATCCACTCGGTGTCTTTCAGTTTATTACAAGCAACAACTGAGATCGGCAAAAGCATAAACCATAAAATTCAGCCAAATCAAAACACAACGTACCAAAAAATAAATAAATAAAAATAGAAACTTCTACAAAGGGGAAACAAACAGAACATCGAATTGTACCTGTGACTTCGAGAAGTTGACCGTGAATGCCAGAAATCGACATGGGAGACAGTAACAACACGAAAGGCTCTAGCTTTGGTTTATATAATCAAAACCCACAAGAGGGCTGACCTTTATATGTACTCTGTTTTCAAGTCAAACAGATAAAAAATTATCCAACAAGTTCAAATTGCAATAAAAAAAACGAGAAACTGAAGGAGACAAACTGTGGATGGGATCTTATAATAAGGGGTTTACCGATTGAGATTATGGTTCTTGAGGAGATTGTGGATTTTCGTTTCAAGAATGCATTAAATGGGTTTATTTGGGGGAGGAACTTTCCAAGCAATTCATGAGACTGCGAAGAATCTTCTTGGTGCTTGCATTCAATCCGCAGCGCGTGAAGTGTTTTTCGCTTTTGGCTAAGCAAATGTGCCGTGTTGACTGTATTTTATCTGTATAAACTACCTACAGTATATTTTACCCCACATTGAATGTTTTTCTTTTTTTTTTTTTTTGGAAACACTTAATTCAATTATTTCAATTTCGTACCCTCTCAAATCAAACCAAAACATTCGCTACATGTTTTCTTGTTCTTTGAGATGTTTTCTCTTAAAAAAAAAAATAACGAACAATAAAATCATTTTAAAAGTATTAAAAAAAGTTATAACAGATACGCATAAAAATCCAAATTTACATGAACTAGAAATACAAAACACACACATAAAATAAGATTACAAAGCACCAAAATTTAACAATTAAAGTAGAAAAACTAGACATTATTATATAGAAAGTGATAAGAAGAAATTTAATAATATAATTGCCAATCATTTGTTTTCCCTGTAGAATGATAATCAGACGCAATATACAATTTGAAACTTGGGATTAGAAAGGCTGCAAAGGATTGGTCTCCATTACTTATCCACCACCACATAATAATAATATAGCCTTAGAAGCTATAAATGTCAAGTTGCTGTAAACCTCTTACAAAACTCACTGAAAACTGCAGAAATTCAAGAACTTTGTAAAGTCTCCCAACATTCAAAACCAAAGTTTCCTGCAAAGTGAAATACACATAGCTCAACTTCACCAAATAAAAATCAAATATCTTGATGCATAGATATTCACAATCACATATATACATAAACATAAAGTCCCAAACCCATGAGATTCCTCCAATCCCCTTTCAGTCGCTTTCGTAATCTTCGTCATCCCCGAAGGAGAAAACCGATGCATCTGCAGCCATTGCTTTGAATTCACTCACCTCCACAGCTGGATCGGACGGCCCAGATTCCTTCTTCTGCTCGGTGGGCTTAGGAGGACCCGAGCTACCTAGCGAGGCTTGCTCGGTTTTACGTGCCAGGTCATCAATTTGTTGTGAATCGGCCTTGGAGTCGTTTGTTGTGGTGATGTTTTGAGAGGAGGTCTCGGTGTGTTTGGATTTGGAGGACCCATTGTCCTCGCCTTCACTGTCTGAGAACTCGTCATCTTTATCTTTCTTTGCGTTCTTTGTTTGGGCTGGTGGGTCGGTTGGGCCTGGATTGGGTTGGGCTGAATCTGGGCCTGGGGTCTGGGCTGATTCGTCGGAGGTGGTTTCTGATGGGGGTTTTGGTATGTTGGTTGCAGTGTTATAGTCAACAAGCACGATCTCGACTTGGAAGCCGGGGGATGGCAGTTTTCTCTGCACACAAAGTAGAAAATGGAGAAATGCATGTGGTGGGTGATTTAATATTGCAAGAGTTTCCTTTCTTAAATGAAGTCTTGCAGTGAATCTGAAGAATGAGGTTCCACAAGTAAAGCTCTAAATTTTGGGTAAGATGAGAAAGAGTGATTCATGAACAAGTCTCAAGTGCTTTGTTTGTTTCAGAAGTCAAACAAGAAAGTAACATCGGAAAATCTAAAGCACACCTTTGCTTCATATTCGCATTAAGTTCTGCAGATTTAGAATCTCAAAGCAAGATGGTACACATAAATTGAGAAAATCATCTCTGGTGCACTAATATTTTATACCTTGTCAAAGCCGTCAAGATCGCCCGTGTTTAATACTTTTCGATTTTCAATCATTNACAGAATAGCATTAGACATGGATCAGTCAGAAATCATCCATCTCATATACCCAGGCTTTTTTGCACTGTAAAAGAAGAAAGGATTAGATCCCATGAACTAATTATACCAATAGAAATCCCCATTACGATCATGAAAATGGACTTTGAAATCGCCCAACAACTCCGTCAGGCCAGGCTCCCCAGGAAGTGCAAATACCGTTATCCCTTTCTTTGGCGCATTGAACCAAAAAGATTCAGGCTGAAAAACATAAGGTCAATATTCTCATTCAATTGAACAAAAATAAAACTATACAGATGTAGTTTTCCAATCGACTTGTCGTGCAATGTGAACATAGGTAGCATTTATTGAACAGTTTCATCAAATTGGCTGACAATTTCCAAATTAACCAACACATGGAAATCCATGCACAATGCATAATTATCAGAACAAATATATCACAAATCAATGAATGTTACAAAATAATAAAACTAAAATCCTGCATTATGCGACATGGTAAAGCAGTTAAAACTATCCATATGCTAAAATATAATTGATATAGTCACAATAAATAATCACACATAATTTTGTGAAAGACGTCAAGAACTTTTCCAAGTATACAGCTGACACTTCAAAACTAATAATTCACTGACAGAAACTGAATGCTAGAAGGAACAACTCACCGACATATCTTTGGTTCTTGGATGCTTCTTTGTTGAAAAGAGAACACCTACAGATAGAAGGTAATAGCTAAAAAACATGTACAATAGAGCAAAACGGAATCGACACACACACACACATATAGATAGAGAGTAACCATTATGGTCAGAGACTGTGATGGAAGGTTTAATCCAGTATGGACATCTGTGCAGCCGAAATCCTCTAAGCATGCATCTGCATTGTGCAATTCAGCATCATTTCAGAACACCACCACATGGTGATAAATCGGTTTCTCATGTCACCCTAACGCTGTTTTCTAACACATAAATAGCACGTACCTACGACCTGGCTGATTTTCTCCATTGAAATATGCCAAAATCCGTTCAAAATACTTGACATATCTCTGTAAGGAATAAACTCATATTAGAAGGTATAATAATAAAGAAGCATAAAAATAAAAATAAAAATTAGTGACGATTGCTTTGATAGTAACAAGACTCACAATCTGACTAGGCAGAACAAGCCCTTTCCCATCAGTACACCTTTTCTGATTGTAGTAGTCAATTGATTCTTCAGCAGTAGGGAAGAACTGTACGATAAAATGATTGTGATTAAAATGGAAAAATGGGACAACATTCGTTCCAAAAATAACCTCTACATTTTCTTAGCTACAAATATAGAAGAATATCTGGTCCTAGCCAGTAACCATGGTAAGCATGATTAATTTTACCTTCAGATACAGAAGAAGACTGGAAATCATCAATCCGGTCCTAGCCATTCCAGCTTTACAATGCACAACCACCACATTCTCAATATCTTCTTTCAACCATGAATATGCACTTTGGCAAAATGATATGATTAGTTGAATAGGAGGGCAGTTATGATCATCAAAAGGAAAACTAGCCACCTGGAGAAAAAGGCAAAGAATAAAAAATTCAAAATCACATGGGTCGAGTATAAATATAAATCAGCCAGACTCAATTTAGTGAAATTTTAACAATGATGCTAAATAACCATATTGTAAAACTGTAAATTTATGCAGAAAAAAGGTAAACAAATAAAATATTTCATAACATAGAGAACATACAAACCTTTCCCTCAAATAAGGATGCATCATACAATCTTTCAGAACAAAGGTTGTACACTTTGTACTTGTCCTGCGTGATTGGGATCAACCAGAATTCAGTCAGTCACTCTTTTAATTGCATTATAAAATCAATGACAAAAATTTGATGTGAACAGCAATTTACTACATTGTTAAAATTTAGCTGATGATCACAAGATCCCGAGCTCATATAAATAATGTGAAATCTGATAGCGGGTGCAGCCAGTTACCTTGTGGTAAGTTTCAAAGAACTTGATTACTTCCTCCATGTGGTTCCGATAAAATCCCTGAACCACAGACATCACTAAGTTCTAATTAGCACAACCATTAATGACTAAGTTGGTACAACTTCAGATGAACTGGAGTTTTATACCTCAACATAACCAAAAAATCCAGAGCTCATATCACCAGCAGGGAAGCCCATAGCAATAATATTCTCCGTGATGTAAGTCATATCTAAATCAAATCCTCCTTCCTGCAGAAAACGAGTAATCAAAGTAACACAGCAATTTTAAGAGCTAGGTAATCAAAAATATTGAGGCTCATCATTAATAGAAGAGCCAGGGCCTTTTTTAGGAAAGTTGTAATGGAAGAGGAAGAAGAAAAACATGTTAAACAGCATTTTTATAACAATCAAGACCCAGTTACACGAAAATAACCTGATATCTTCGTTTATTTTGGGATACAACATGCCGAGCTTTAACCTGCACAGCCTTCACTGCATTCTTGGACGAGTCAACCAATCCTTTCGTTATAGTTCCAATAAAACCTGATTGCGCAGTTGGTGAAGGTTCAGCTGAGCTTCCTTCTGACTGAGGAGATTTTGGGGATGAGCGCAACCCAAACCCACTAGTGAGACGTGAAAACGGAGACTTCACAGAGTCTCCAGTCGGTGATGCTTCCTGGGACCCAACAAATGGCTTGGAAATTTTAAGATTTTTCGCCCAAGTTGAAATGCCAGAAGCCGAAAAATTAGAAGGTGCATCATGTTCAGAATTATCTGGTGCAGATTGCATTGAAGTTGACATTTTTGTTTCCGCAGATTTGATATCCTGAGGATTTGACGAATCAGGAGAATCCGAACTCATCTCCGGAAGCTCAAATTCCTTCACGGTATTCAACAGAACAACTTTAAAACAATTAGTATTTACAACCAGAACCTAGTAAATTATGTGCCTAAGAAGAAAGAGAATATAACAATAATGATTTGCTAAAAGCATCCATATAACTCCCGAAACAATAAATTTACTGAAGTTTCCAATACTTGAAAACCTCACAAAATTGATAAATTCTATTGACAGTAAGCAAATAAAAAAAGCAATAGCAAATTTCTTTCAGCAACAGGAATTTAACTAAAATCCATTCACCGTCGTCATAAATTAGACTGTCAGTAGCGTGCGCTCTACCCTATGGGTGGGAAAAATGAAGCTAAATTAGACTTCACTAGAACAACATACTTTGTTGCAGCTAAGAGAAACAGCAATTGTTTAATTATTCTGTGAAGTCTATACACAAAATATAAAAATTTCAGCTCGACATGATTGATGTAGACAGGTTAAACTACAAGATTACATCAGCTAATGTTCTTCCTTTCCATTCCTAAAAAGCTCCATATCACCAACAAAAAATGTAAATTACCTTCCTCCGCAAAAATGCCCCTCGAAAAACATATAATTAGGTGAAAAAATCTATCCAATGATTTTACATTGCAACCAATTCAGATTGCAGTATACAAGTACGTACTAAAAGATTCCCTAAAGTCTATTGCTATTGGCAATACTCTAGCTAGACAAAAACTCAAACTGTTGTGACGAACACAAAACTACAAACTAAGCAGATAGTGCAAAGCCATAAAAAGTGGAATCGCGACCTAGCTTTCCGACAGCTTCATCCCTACCAGCGAAAAGTACGATCGAATATAAGAAAAAAGGAGTTAGAATTAACAACGTAATTTACGCAGAAGGTTATTTTAAATCAGCAAACACCAATTTCTCAGAATCCCAAATCGATTTCACAAATTGCTGAAACAAGCTCCATCAAAGACCTCATCGTTCAACTAGGAAATGGATGAGTGCAAGTGATAGCAAACACTAAAATAATTATAGCAACACTCACGAACGCAATAAGAGGACAATCAGATGATGCTGGAGCTACCTGAAATCGGAGTCAACGGCGGAGGAAAACGGTGTTGCGGTGGTGCGCCGGTGGTCGGTGGGGTTCCGTGAATACGACGTCGTAGGGTTTCAGTGTGATTATAAATGATGCGATGAATAAGGAGTGATTGCCTTCACATTACCATTTTATCGATATGAAAGCCGCTACCTTTTTTTAGTAGCTATGTATAATGAAACAATTATGAAATTTCACATTAAATTTTACAAGTGGTAAATAAAAAATGTTCAAATAAATATAATCAAGTCACAAATTCACAATTGGTAAATATAATCAAAGTCACAACACTCGTTTAATATACAATTATTAATAAAAAATTTATACTTGAAAAAACTAAAATAGATAAACTTTTTGGTTTAAAAATATCAAATGTTTCTTAAAAAAAAAATATTTTTACATAGTTTAAAATAATATTAACCACGTGTTGATTTGCACGCTTATGTTATACTCTCTCATATTTTTATTATTTGTCACTCTGGCTTAATTGATCATTGATTAAATAAATGTCGTTTTGGCTATTTTGTTCATATTTTTTCATTTTTAACCTTTCATTTAATACACATTATCTCTTCATATCTCATCTCTATCGTTTCTCATAACATCCATTAAATAAGGTTAATATTGCTAAGAACAAAAATTCTTAATTAGCGTGTTGCTTCTCAAAACGACAAATAATAAAAACAGGAGGGAGTAATAATTATTTTCACTTATATCATATATTGATTGATAATTTTATTATTTTTCAATTAGGATACATTTATAACTAGTAAGTAACCCGTGCGATGCACGGAATAATAATTATAATTAAATGTTTTAATGCAATGAAGCAATATTGATTTGTATAAAAATAGTTTTGAATATTAATAATTATTTTATTTTATGATATATAATAATTTAGTATATGATTTATATATTTATTTTACTCGTTATAAAATAGTTGTCATTTTAGATCATGTTTATAATTAAGAATAATGAAAATTTAACATATTCAAATATTATCAATAAATACTACTCACATAATACTTCTTTATCTATCTTCTCTTACCATACCATCTTACAGTATATTATTTCGATTTCTAAATAAGGTACATTAAAGTTAAAAAATTGTGGCAAATATTATAACCAATTCTTAATTGAAAAGGATTGAAATAAAAATTATTTTGGAAGTTAAAAAAATTATTAATCATTAATTACATCAATATTATTTTATTTTATTCTTATAATTTATAATATGATAGATATTTTAATTTTTTTTTCTAATTTATTAATTTCTATGAGATTTGTTATGAAATTGTGAATCCCAATATGAATTTTTTTTAAAAATAGTTTGGCGCAGTTATTGATAAAATCAATGGATATTTCTGAACTCCTTTAATAGATGATTTTTGGTATATGGCTCGCTACGAAATAAATAGAAAATCGTAGGGATTTGTTATTAATGTTGATATATCACAATAATTTTTTCATAATTGATTTTCAATTTTTATTTTGTAATTATATTTGCAACCTTATCGTGCATATTCAAATAATATTTTGTAGAAACGAAATATATTTAATAGACATTTTTTGAAGACATGTTGTATAGTTGATTGCCAAAAGAATAAAAAAATTGCAGTGATTCGTAACTAATATGAAGAATTATTTTTTATTGTGATAATGTGGAATAAATAAATCAAAATATGTGCAAATTTGAATTATTAAAGACGTAAATAACAAAAGGAAAAAAAAAGTAAAATAATTTGACAATTACAGTATATGTATATGTTGCTAATTTCCAAAAGATTGCATATATATATATGTATACGTATGCTAACATTTGATCAATATCAAACTAAAAATTTGGCAGAGAATTAAAAAAAAAAAATCTTTAATTACCTTGCCTACAATAAAATCACTATATTTCTTTTATTAGTTAAGTACACTCTTTTAGGCCATGTATCCGGTAAGTTTGAGATTTAAATCCGTGAATGTAGGCATTATTTTTTTTTTCAAAAGAATTAATTTAATTTTTAAACTGTTGCCTTTAATAGTAAGTCAAATGATTTATTTATTTAGTCAAAAGTTACTAAAAATGATTTTACCAACAACCTTTTTATATAGATATAGATTTAATTTTTAATATAAAGATAAAAAACTGATTATAAATAAAAATGCTAGTAAGTAATAAAATAAATTTCAATTTAGTTTTTCTCAATATTTGATCATTTTAAAAATTTTAAGGCATAAATAAAAATTCAAATTGCACGGACTCTGAATTACATGAATTCCTCGTATTATAACATATTTGTCATTATTAGTGAAGGGTCCTCTCCTAGATCTTGATCTAACTGGTGGAAATAAACTCCGATTTGCTTGGACCGTCGTGAACACCTGCAGAACTCAACGTCGGAGGGGTTTTCGGCAAAGAGCCTCCGATGCCTAAGTCAATATTAAGAAGATGGTGATGGTGCTCTGTGAATAAGAGCGATATAAAATGTATGAAGAATGTAAGTTTTGATTTGAGGATACCTTGACCCTTTTTATAGGGGAAATACCTGCCTTAAATGTCCTGCCCGAGTGTCCGCGGGCAGCCTACCCGATTGCCCAGATTTTCGATACTTATACATATCTTAATCACTTATCAGTCAAATCCTAGTCATCTTAAGATTCCATCTTGTCATTTTAAGATTAATCCTTATCTCTTAAACCTGTTAGTCATCACAGTGCAACCTTCATCGTCATATACCTCGAGTCTTGAGGTGAATAAAAATCGACCTCGAAATAAGTGAGGTCGACCACAACCTTACCCCAAGGAGACCAAAACCATTATGCTTAGATCGTCATCTTCCAAATCAATATCTCAACTCCTCATTGAGATCCTTAAATTATTTGTTACACTCTCACTTCTTCCAAATCAATATCTCAACTCCTCATTGAGATCCTTAAATTATTTGTTACACTCTCACTTATATTAAGCTATTCTACGGTCAGACCCACTTTCCAGGTCGTCATCCGTTAAGTTGATACCGAGGATCTCAAGTCGTAGTCCTTCCTGTAATAGTCGTCTCGTTCCTCTCAAGTCAACATACCTAACTCGTCTTTCAGTCAGGCCGAACTACCAACTCAAGTCGACATACCTAACTCATCTTTCAGTCAGGCCGAACTATCAATACATAGTCCAGTCTACGCGAGTATTGCTATATAAATTAGTTTGGTTTGAATTGTGAGATTTATTTAAGCAAACTAGTGCAGATCCATATAAGATTGGATTTTCATTTATCAACTACACATTAGTCAAACAAATTCATAAAACCCAAACTTGGGTTGCCATCTACAATCAAGTAAAGATGAAATTAGCTCCACAAACAATCAACAATAAAGATGAAATTATCTAAAATTTTTTATCACATACCTTCAATTAGTTCTTTTTCTTTTAGGCACTGTGTCATTAAATATGCATTTTATAATACCAAGATGCTAAAGAATAAGCACTTTCAAACACTTGGGAGAAATTAGCAGAAATTCCTTCAAATAAGCTAATGAGAATCCTTTAAACCAGATATATACAATCAAAAGTCTAAATCTAAAAACCACTTCTCCAAATGCCTGGTCCAAACAGCGAAAGGAAAAAAAAGATGAACTATTTACAAACATCTGATAAATAGACCCTAAGTCTTGAAATAGATATATTAATCATTAAAGGTTCCCACACTCCAATTAAAAGTGTGCCCTTTAAATAAAAATACTGATCAAATTAGCTCGTGCCCTCGACCTCTCGACACTCAAATGCTGCTGAACTTCCGAGCACCGGCAAACAGGCTCGACCAGTCGAGATTAGCCTTACTCCTCTTTAACGCCGGTACTCCAAACGGGCTATCCTTACTCTGTCACACCAAACAACATTTTAAGTTTTAAGGTTCTTTCCCAAGAGATTTGATTCAGAACTCTTATATGTCCAAGGTTCAATATTGAAAGAATGGCTAAATTGCATTTTTAGTCCGCCATAGTACTTTTAGTCCCAAAATTTTAACATTTCACCTTTTAGTCATGTGAAAGGACTGAAATTGCAATAAATTCTCAAATTCTCATATTTTTTATCAGCAATTTAAGTCCTGTAATTAAAAATTTTGTTGCAATTTCAGACCTAAAAAAACTAAATTGCAGCAAAATATTAAATCTCACGACCAAAAGGAGAAAAGTTAGAACCTTAGGACTAAAATTGTTATGGCGTTAAACGAAGACTAAAAATGCATTTTTGCCTTGAATGAAAGATTTTTCCTGACTATGTCAACAAACAATTCGAAATACCTCAACTTTTTTTTAGAACTTATTATATATATATATATATATATATATTCAATTATGGAATAAAAAAAAAAGTACTCACAATCAAGCAAGTGCCTGCACCAGCGTCGCAAACCGGGTACTCGTGCGGGCAGCAGCTCGAGTGGTCGTCACAGCAAGTGGCGGACTCCATCGGGCAGCAGCCCCAACCAAAGCAGAACTGCCCGTATTGGTACACGCAGCAACACGTGCTGCCCGCCGGGCAGGAGAAGTACTCGTCGCACTCCGTGGTGGGCTTCACAGGAGGTGACGGGCCAGGCTTCGGTGGGTTCTGGCCCGTTTTAATCGGGTACGAGGGCTCGACTGAAATCCCGCACTTACCTGATGTGGCGCGACTGCCCAAGTTGCGCTCGAGGCGGATATAGCCGCTCTCTCCCCAGCTCGGGCCCCACGAGTTACGCACGATCCAATAGTCTGTCCCGTTTTCCTTGCCGTAGCCAACAGCCACCACGCCGTGGTCCAAGTCGGTCCCACATTGCCCGGTGAAGACACCCTATTATAAAGGTTCCGGAAGTTTGAGATTGTAATTTTTTTTCTATTAGCACCGAAAAAGGAAAAATTGCATATAAAGGCACCACCTTTAAGGCTTTTGCAATTTAATCACCACATCTCATATGTTTTGCAGATCGAAGCATAAATTTAACTTCCGTTAGATTAGAGACGGTAAGATCACGTGCTGACTTGGCAGAGACGGAAAGTCTAGCGGAATTTAACTTTACGCAAAGATGGTGATTTAAATGCATATAACAAATTGGTGATTAAATTGCAAAAGCCTTAAAGATGGAGCCCTTATATGCAATTTTTGCCTATAAAATAATATCGAGTTTTTTTTTTTTCCCTTTTGCATTTCTGAAAGCATTCAGTGGTAATTTTTTGTAGTAGAATCTCGCAAAGTAACTAACGTGCTAGATAGACAATTGCGTAAGCAGAATAAAAAGTTTTTCAAAAGATAGAAATTTGATGCAAAAGCACTAAAAAAACATCATTCTCAAATCTTTGTCACTGTACCGATTGGTAAAGCTGGAAAGCTCTGCCGCCAGCTTCAATGGCGACACTGACTGGTTGATGAGCCACAGCCTTCTTCAAAGCTTGTTCGTCATTTGCAGGAACATCTTCATAAGAATCTATGGAGACCACGTGTGCATTTTTCTGTAAGATCGAACGTTAAAAGTTAAAACACGCCTCCCTTTTTTTTTTTACAAAATTATGAATAAAATGGAGAGAACAAATGTAAAAATAAAAGTAAAAAAGACCCCTTTTGGATTCATACCCGCAAGCTGTCGCAAGTTTCATCACGAGCTCTGTACGGGTAATCATCCTCTGTGTCAAGACCACCATTGTCAATCACAAACTGAAAGCCATAGTCCATTAGACCTCCATTACAGCCTTGGTTGTATGACCTGTCACAATCGACCAGTTCTTGCTCGGACAGGACTATCAAGTCCCCAGTTACTATCTTATTTATTCCTTCAACAGCGGCAACAGTTGAAAAAGCCCAGCAACTCCCTTTTTTGGAAAAAAATTAAACATTAACCACTTATTAGTCTCTAAAACAAAAGGATGCTGCTTGTTCATATAAATTAATTCAGTATCTTTTTTGGAAATCAAGAAATGATAACAATATATATATATATATATATATATATATATATATATATAAGTTCATTTGTTCTTATGTCAAAATATATCCAATCTACAACTATACAATTTTCAAAATGGAAACCCATTAATAACCAAATCAATAGTAATATGCTCGTTTTTTTGAAGTAATTACAACATCTCAATTCACATAAAGATCCCAACATCCTAAATAGATCAGCACAAAAGTGATACCCAGTAGAAAATTCACATATAACCTCCCATCAAGTACAGAAGATAGGGAACTAAAATAGACATCCAAATAAGAATTCCTAAAACTTATGTCTGGTTAAAACGAACGAGACCCAAGGATTAGACACAAAACAATTCATAAATATTAACTATTATTAGGAAAAACTAGAAAGACAAAATAAATTTTGTCATCTTCTTCCAAAAATCCGAACTGAACTATCCAATCAAGAACTCCAGTCAAATCACCCTTGAAGAAAATAAACCCAATCTAACATACATAAATCATCATATATGATAAAAAATACAGTTACGATCAACATGATGAATTAAAGAGCTTACCACACTGGCCCTGATCTTTGACTGGCGCGACGGCGCCTTTCTCCCTCCAGTCAACGGACTCCGGCAGCTCCTCTCCGGCCCTAACCGCGTACCGGTCGCTCGCCCTCCGAGCCATCAACCCGGGCTTCCTGTTCTTCCTCCCGCCGACGAACTTCGACCGGTACTCCTCGTTCGTCAGATCTGCGAACCGGTTCAGCCCCACCTTGTACGTCCGGTCGACGGAGTTATGCTCCTCGATGAACCTCAGGTTGTCCTTGAAGATCTCGAATCGCCGCTCCTTCTCGCCGAGGGCGTTGTACACCTTGCCGTGCCTGACGAGCCACGACTCGTACAGCGCCATGGTCTCGGCTTCGGATCGGGCCGGGCCCACGTCGTGGCCCCGATCGTAGGTGATTATGGACATGTCGATGGCCGAGGAAACGAGGGAAAGCGAAAGGAGGACGGCCCAGAACGAGATTTTTTTGGGAGAAGCCATTGTTGAAGTTTTTCTTTTTCCTTTTTTTTGTTCTGAAGAAGATTAAGAGTATGGGCGAAGATAAAAGATAAAATCTTGATATATTGGGGATTTTTTATAGGGATAGTGGGGCGGTGGAAAAGGAAGCGAAAAAGAAGGGTTGTGAATGGGGACGATTGATTGGGGAATGGGGGAAGATGGTGAGAGATTGAATTGCAGAGGAGATAGGATTTTCTTGGGAATTGAAGAAAGAGAAAACAAAAAAAGTGTTGTCAACACAAAAGTTGTAAGAAACATTCACTTTATATTTTTATTTTTATTTTTATAAATATTTTTTAATCTATACTTATATAATAAAAATTAACATTTATCAAAATTAATAACTTAAGTAATGGTCAAAGTCAGTTTTGCATTAATTACTTTCCAAAATCGGTAACTTTTATGTCCTTTTCACACTTCTCATTAATTATGTCCTTTTCATACTTCTCATTAATTATGTCATTTTTACACATTTAATTAATTCATTAATTACGACATAATTATCATAAATCATTACATCTGAGCTTTTATCGTTAAAATGTATAGCGATATGTTATGACTTTATCCCATTGATATTTCCACGAAGTGTCCTAATGGCGTTCTATTTTTTGGTAACCACTCTATATCAATAACCGGATATTTGGTTAATGATAGCACACGTCTTTATTTCAAGGAGCGGATATTCTTTGACTTTTAATTAATCTGAACTGATTGCCTTGACTTTTCAATTTTTAAAAACTCTTTTGTTAAATATTTCGGCTTAAGATTCAGATTTCATTATACAAGTCATCGGATTGTTTGAATGAAAATGAATGAAAAGAACACAAAAAAAACTCTTTTGTTAAATATTTCGGCTTAAGATTCAGATTTCATTATACAAGTCATCGGATTGTTTGAATGAAAATGAATGAAAAGAACACAAAAAACAGGTAGCCTTATTCAGATAACCAATCCTAAAATATTAGTTTGTTCACCAAAAAGAGACAAATCCTAGAAATCCTAAAATATTAGTTTGTTCACCAAAAATATTAGTTTGATTTTTAGGATTTGTCTCTTTTGAAAATATTAGTTTGTGATAATGAGGAGTTACCAAATAATCAAACTCATAATGTTGTGTACAAGGAGGTTTTTAACAATATATGATTGTTACCGAACTTTTTATGATTCAACAATGTTCCTATGTATTTTAATGATTTTAATTTCGATCCTAATGCACGTGAGGTTATATTATTCTTCCAAATTTTACATCTCGTGCATCGCACGAGTTACGTACTAGTTATATTATCAACCTAGTTATACATTTATAGATACCTTTCATAAATGCACCCATCTTATTAATGCAATTTATAGTAGATATGAGCCCTCTTTAGACATATTTTCGTTATCAATCTGTCATTTTATTTTTTAATAGATTGTAAATATTGGAAGACTGACTGTAGATAGTAATTGTGTTTGAGATACTAAATCGGCTTTACCTAGAACTTAAATTAGTCTCTTTTCAAATAGTACAAGAAAATTTTCATAATTTGTAGTATGTGTCTACTTGTTAGTCTCTTTTAATAGATTGTTAGTCTCTTTTCATATTAGTCTACTTGTTTGCTTCTAACGTGATTGTTCTTTAATGCATTGTTATTACCTTTTTCTCATTGTATTGTACTTTTTTTGTTCAAGTAAGACGGTATATCAGCTTGTATAGTTGGCCTCGAAGAACTTGTACATTATGGATTTTGGTATTGGAATATATAAAATAAATTATACTTTTATCCTAAGGTAAAAGGCATCAATAAGTTGTCATTAATTTATTTTTAACACCGTAATTATTCCACATTGTAACAACATGAAAATTACCACTTTTGAAAATGTTGTAAATACACCAAATTCTCAAACTCTCTCAATTTTTTCCTTCTTTCTACGGCCTGCTGATATGAGCAATAAACGAGTCCATTTCGAGCCTTGACGACCTGCCCTCCTTGGTGGCCGCCTGAACCATCTTCCCGACCTCCTCCACACCCTCTCCCCTTCCCCGGGCCCCATAAGCCTCCTCACTGCATCGTTCACCGCCTCGGTCCGTACCAGCTCGACCTGCCCGGCCCACTCCTTGACCACAATCCCCATCCCCAATACCCCCACCACCGGCGCCGCGTTTGCGGGTTGGTCCGCGTGCATGGGCCACGCGGCCACCGCCACTCCACCCACGATGCTCTCCAAGCACGAGTTCCACCCGCAGTGGCTCACGAACCCACCCACCGCCCCGTGGCCCAGTATCCGAGGTTGGGGGGCCCACCCCCTCAGCACCATCCCTCTCCCCTCCACCCTCTCCTCGAAACCCTCTGGCGGGCTGAGCCTCCGGCCCAGCCAGCCAAACACATCACTGGTGTCGGCATCCCTGACCACCCAGAGGAACTTGGCCCTGCTCCTCGAGCCTGGCCGCGATCTCTCTCACCTGCTCGTCGGTTAGGGAAATCGTGGTTCCGAACGAGACGTAGACCACCGACTTGGGCTCGTTCCGGTGAAGCCACCTCAAGCACTCGCGTTGGTGTTCGGCACGAGGGGCAGGGAGTATGGGCCCCATGGCCCACAACTTCCTATTCTTTGCCCCCGAGATCTCCTCGTGCTCGAGTATCTCGAGGTATGGAGCCTCGACGAGTCGGCACGTGTTAAAGATGTCTCTCGATCGGGAGTCCAAGTGGTCCATCTGAATGGACACGAAGCTGCGCACCTCCTCCGGCAGGCACCCGTTGAACGAGGGAATCTCCTTTGAGTGTTTGACCGAGACGGGTTTGGTGAGGAACGACCAAAGGAACGAGATGTGGGACGACGCGCTTATGCAGTTGAAGACGTACGACTCGGCGTTGGGTATCGAGGCAATGTCTTGGACAACAAAGGCCATCATAGGGTCGTGGATTACGACGACGCGTGTGAATTTCTTGGACAAGTCGAGCAAGAAGACAGAGAAGAGCTCACGGAGGCTTAAGGAGGCGTACCAGGCAGACAAGAGCTGAGTGGGAAACCTGTGGGACGAGTCAGGGTTGGGTCGTGGGGAATCGAAGTGTGGGGTCGGGATGTCGTGGAAGTGGATTTTTCGGAGGTCGTGAGGGTTGATGAGGTCGTTGGCTCGGGACCGGGCTTGGCGGGAGAAGACGAGCGGAGCGAAGTAGTGGATGGGGATGCCGTAAGAGGAGACGAGGCAAGAGAGCTGGAGGAGCTGGTTGAGGTGGCCTTGGGCCGGGAAAAGGGACGACAATGGCGGCGGCGTGGTGGTCCATGGTGGTGGAGGAGGGAGGTGTTAATTTGAGGTGTATGTGGTATGGGGTGTGGAGGGTTTTTCCATGTTTGTGAGAAGTTATATAGAGGGGGGTGTTTGTCCCATTTTTGTTGTATTTTTCGTTATTGTTTTATCAATCTTTTTCCCCCGTTTTAGGTCCTTTCGTGAGTTTTTATTCCGTTTTGTGTTTTATTATGTGTTTTGTTCCTTTTTTTTGTTTTCTTTGTGTTTTTCGTGTGTTTTTCTCCTTTTTCTTCTTGTTTTTGGTGTGCAGGTCGAAAGTCTCGTGAGGAGCCGATTTAGCTCAACATAGACCGGGCAATCATGGTTGTGTAGATGGACTTGTTGGATACACATAGGAAAAAGCTGAATTAGAATTCGAGTTCGGATGAACCCGGACGGAGCCAAAGCGTGAAGCCGCGTGAAGTCGCATGCGAACGTCTCTAGTGTGATGGTCAAGAGCTTCGGGAGAACCGGTTTTCGAGAATCTTGTGGGGAAGCTGACACCATTGGATAGAGGGATTCGTTAGTTACGCGTAGGAAAAAACGGAACTCAATTCCGAGTTAAAACGAACCCGAACGAGCAAAAATCGTAAGATGGTGCAGTGCAGATTTTGGTCTCCGCGGCCGCGGGATTTTCTTCTCCGCGGCCGCGGCGAACAAAAACAGCCAGGTCCCAAATTTCAGCAGCAAAAAGTCGCGGCCGCGGGATCAGGTCGCGGCCGCGGAGGTCGCGACAGCAGGGTTTTAAAAGCAGTTTTCAGATTCGTTTTTAGGGAGTTTTTGGCGAGGTTTGAACACCTCTCGACCGGGGTGAAAACCCTAGGTCCCGAGAGAACACAAAATCTCTTTCTCCTCTTTTCTTTCTTCTTCTTCCTCGTTCCTTTTCTTCTCTTAATCATTATTTTCCATTTTTCTTCTTCTTTTTCTTAGTTAGGGATTAAGCTTGTAACTCGAATTCAACATCTAAACTTGGATTGATTGTAAGTATTTCTTTCTCTTGTTTAATTCATGAATAATGGTTGACTTGAGTAGAATGATTATATTTGTTGAATTTGATTTATGTAGCTAATTCCTTCTGCTAGGGATAGGGGATGATTGTTCTTGATTAATTTCGTTATTATTGGGCTTTAATTTGTTCCTGCTTGTGCGAGTTGCTTTAATTAGGGTTAATTAATTCTTACTTGATAACTTGATATAATCGAAGGGTGACACTTCGATCTTGCAATTGGTATCAATTGAATGTTAATTTGTCGAGTTAGGGTTTGTTGGTTCTATATGATTAGTTGATTAAACACCTTCTAGTTGAATTAGCGACTTTTAGAACCGAAAGGGGAGAAGTCGTAGACCTAGGCTCGCATGAGATAGATGATTTCGTAACTGAATAGTCTATAGGTTTTGGATTGAAATACACACTTGCCGATGACCCGTCTCTTGTTACGAAAAGTTATTGAGACTGGGATAATTGACATGTGTTGTATGCTTGAGCTAGCTCGTCTATGTTCAATCCCTTGTTACGAAGAGTTATTGGGAGCGAACCGCTAGATGTCTAAGCGAGAGTGTCAATCTCAAACCGAACAATTGATTGCCCGGTTTTGCTTAGAACTTGAATAAATTATCCCCGATTTCCTAGCTTCTTTATCGCTTTCTAGTTCGTACTTTAGGTTCGTTTTTGTTTGCTGTTGATTTATTAGTTAATAATATATTCCTCATTTCCGATTAGAGTGTTTAGGTTTTTATCTTCTTTTTGTGTGAAATCAATACCGAAGTTAAATTCCGAACCGCCTTCCTCGAGAGATCGACCCGGGAGACGAATCTTTAGATTCTTTTTGTCTTCTTTGTTTTTGTTTTCTTTTTCCTTCTTTTTCGTGGCTACGTGTGGTTGTTTTGTTTTGGTGTGCAGGTATGTTGAATTTCAACCGTGTGTTTCCCTCACCGCACACCCAGTCTTGGGGTCACGAGCCGAGCTATCACATCGGGTGCTACTACCAGTCATCTCCGTACTCTTCCGAGCAGTGCTGGAATCCCTACACGGTCGAGCAAACTTACGAATCCCACGATCATAATAAGAAGCTCGACCAGATTCTCGATTTTATAAATTCTCAAACAGCTCGAGAAGAAGAGGCCGCATTCAACGAGAAACTTGATCTGATCCTCGATCAGATGATGGCCCAAGAAAACCGATGTGCCCGTTTGAGCGAGCAATTGGAAAGTCTAGCAAGGCGCATCGACTCTATCGAGTCACGAGCCAAAGAGCCCATGGTTGGGGACCCACATCCGGCACTTATACCTTTCGATGAGCTTGAGGATGACGCTTCGGGATACAACGCCAAACTTGACCTCATCCTCGATCGTATGATGGCCCAAGCAAACCGAGAAGGGGAGATTGAGTTCGGATGTGCTCGACTGAGCGCTCAAATGGAGAATCTAACAGCACGTCTCGACTCTATCGAGTTGAAAGTCGACGACTCTCATCTTATGGTTGGTGCCCAAACATGTATTCCGATGCACATGTGTGAGACCGAAGAGGAAGATGATGTTCTCTATTGGGATGACGATGTTTCGGAAGGGGAGATTCATGGACTTGATCACATCACCATTTCTCGAGTCCCTCCTCCTGCTACTGAGATGGAGCATTCACCTTCGAAGTCACACTGTGCTACCAAGTGGGCTAGAGTCAGCTCGACTTGCTCCACGGATTTGCTCGTTATTCCTGAGATTGACGATAGAGCTCGGGTGGGAAAAGCTCTGCGTTTAGAATTGGGGATTGCTCGTGCCCGAGACCACTTCATACAGAACATAGCCACCCGGATCCACCATGCCCGCCTTCTTGCCACCCTTCCCATGCTGCCACTTCTGGAAAATACGAAGGCGTGGCATGATCGCCATTTCTTTTTGGACCCTGGCTGAGTTCCTCGCAGGTTTCGTCAAGCTAATGACGTTAAACAAGCGCTTCTTGGGAGGCAACCCAAGTGATTTACTGCTTTCTTAGTTATTTTCTTTTTGCTTTTTATTTTATCTTTTAATAATTGGAGCTTGGAGTTTCTGTGTTTTTCTTGGCAGGTACAAGTTTGCGAGCTTGAGCAGGACGAACATCGAGGTCCAGAGCGGTGCGTGGGCGAGTAGCTCGTATGTGGATGCTTATTCTCCTCGGAGCATCTTCGGTTTGCACACCCTTTTTCTTTCTCTTTTTATCTTTTTTGAGTTGTTCTTTCCTCTGTCTTTGCTTTTGAGTCTTGTGTTGCTGTCGTAGTTGCTAAGTTTGGTTCATTATGTGAAAGTGCTAGGTCCTTTATTTGAATTCCTGTTTCGTGTTGAAGCAATGAGGACATTGCCTCATTTTAAGTGTGGGGGAGTTATTCGGATTTTTGCATGCTTATATGGTGGGCCGGGCTAGTTTAGGTTTTTGTGTTGTTGAGCATGGTATTGGTGGATTATATGATTTGTTGATGGATGTTTGATGAAATTGGGAAGTTGTGATGACGATTGTGTTGATCATTGCCTCGATATTGCTTGATTGTTTTGAGTGACATTTATTTACCTTGTGAGGTTTTGAGCCTAACTCTTCTTTCTTGTGAGATATTGGTCATATTCTTGAATGATTAGAACTTGCCTTGAGTTTGTTTGAAAGGAATCAATTAGAGTTTAAAATTGCGAATATGATTGAGGCGCTTTGTTTGATTAGCTCACTTCTGCCTTGTTCTTTGGCCCTATTTATTATTCCACTAGTAGCCCGTTTGAGCTTAAAACCTTTTCTTGTCAACCTGTTGACTGATTTGTGTGATGATTGGGTGATTGGTGGCATTTCTGAATATGGTGGACATTGAGTTGCATTTTGTTTACTTGACCATTTAAAAAAAAAAAAAAACTTTGAGAGTTCACAAGACGAATCAATGGATTCTGCTCCTCTTACTAGTCGATTCATTTTGACAGGTAATGAGCATTGGGAAACTACTGTAGGAAACTTGGATGACCTCCAATGTTCACACCTACAGAATGTTGTCCTTTTGATTCAATCTTGTTGAGAAAAAGTTACTCTCCAAATAAAAAAAAAAAAAAAAAAAAAAGAGAAAAAGAAAAAATAAGGTTAAGTGATGATGTTGCAACTTGTTCTGAGCATCTATGTGTTGTTTGTGGAATGTTGGTTGGGTAGTAAGTGTGTTGTCATGATTATTCTGGATGAGTGGCGGAGAACTCGAGTAATCTATTTACTCGAGAACCTTGATTGTTTATTTGAGCTTCTTGTCCATATATATCTGTACCTTTACCTTAAGCCTACATTACAACCCGTGAAGTCCTCTTGATTCGCAAGTTTGAGCTTTGATTGTTTCTGAGTAATTTAAACGATTGGCAAGCATATGTTGAAACTTGAATATTGACCAATCTGAGAGAACCTATCATATATTCATGTAAAAGAATGAGTGAGGCATACACTAATATTTCTGTATTTGAGAGTTTGTCATTTTGAGGCCAAGTTGATATTTGAGGCATATGGTCGTACAATCGTTGGAATTCAACCCGGTTGAGTTAAATATTTCTGAGGCTCTTCTTGTATGAAATTGATATCCATGCTCGTGTCTTGTTTTCTTTTCTTTTCTTTTGTTTTTGTTCGGGACGAACAAAGGTTTAAGTGTGGGGGAGTTGTTTGTCCCATTTTTGTTGTATTTTTCGTTATTGTTTTATCAATCTTTTTCCCCCGTTTTAGGTCCTTTCGTGAGTTTTTATTCCGTTTTGTGTTTTATTATGTGTTTTGTTCCATTTTTGTTTTCTTTGTGTTTTTCGTGTGTTTTTCTCCTTTTTCTTCTTGTTTTTGGTGTGCAGGTCGAAAGTCTCGTGAGGAGCCGATTTAGCTCAACATAGACCGGGCAATCATGGTTGTGTAGATGGACTTGTTGGATACACATAGGAAAAAGCGGAATTAGAATTCGAGTTCGGATGAACCCGGACGGAGCCAAAGCGTGAAGCCGCGTGAAGTCGCATGCGAACGTCTCTAGTGTGATGGTCAAGAGCTTCGGGAGAACCGGTTTTCGAGAATCTTGTGGGGAAGCTGACACCATTGGATAGAGGGATTCGTTAGCTACGCGTAGGAAAAAACGGAACTCAATTCCGAGTTAAAACGAACCCGAACGAGCAAAAATCGTAAGATGGTGCAGTGCAGATTTTGGTCTCCGCGGCCGCGGGATTTTCTTCGCCGCGGCCGCGGCGAACAAAAACAGCCAGGTCCCAAATTTCAGCAGCAAAAAGTCGCGGCCGCGGGATCAGGTCGCGGCCGCGGAGGTCGCGACAGCAGGGTTTTAAAAGCAGTTTTCAGATTCGTTTTTAGGCAGTTTTTGGCGAGGTTTGAACACCTCTCGACCGGGGTGAAAACCCTAGGTCCCGAGAGAACACAAAATCTCTTTCTCCTCTTTTCTTTCTTCTTCTTCCTCGTTCCTTTTCTTCTCTTAATCATTATTTTCCATTTTTCTTCTTCTTTTTCTTAGTTAGGGATTAAGCTTGTAACTCGAATTCAACATCTAAACTTGGATTGATTGTAAGTATTTCTTTCTCTTGTTTAATTCATGAATAATGGTTGACTTGAGTAGAATGATTATATTTGTTGAATTTGATTTATGTAGCTAATTCCTTCTGCTAGGGATAGGGGATGATTGTTCTTGATTAATTTCGTTATTATTGGGCTTTAATTTGTTCCTGCTTGTGCGAGTTGCTTTAATTAGAGTTAATTAATTCTTACTTGATAACTTGATATAATCGAAGGGTGACACTTCGATCTTGCAATTGGTATCAACTGAATGTTAATTTGTCGAGTTAGGGTTTGTTGGTTCTATATGATTAGTTGATTAAACACCTTCTAGTTGAATTAGCGACTTTTAGAACCGAAAGGGGAGAAGTCGTAGACCTAGGCTCGCATGAGATAGATGATTTCGTAACTGAATAGTCTATAGGTTTTGGATTGAAATACACACTTGCCGATGACCCGTCTCTTGTTACGAAAAGTTATTGAGACTGGGATAATTGACATGTGTTGTATGCTTGAGCTAGCTCGTCTATGTTCAATCCCTTGTTACGAAGAGTTATTGGGAGCGAACCGCTAGATGTCTAAGCGAGAGTGTCAATCCCGAACCGAACAATTGATTGCCCGGTTTTGCTTAGAACTTGAATAAATTATCCCCGATTCCCTAGCTTCTTTATCGCTTTCTAGTTCGTACTTTAGGTTCGTTTTTGTTTGATGTTAATTTCTTAGTTGATAATATATTCCTCCCCTATCTGATTAGAGTGTGTAGGATTTATTTTTTTTTTTCTGTGCAATCAATACCAAACTAAATCCGAACAGCCTTCCTTGTGAGATCGACCCGAGGTCGGGAGTCATCCCGTACTCGGTAAAAAATATAATTTGCTACAACAGGGGGTGTGAAATTGACAAATTTGTACACGTTATGATGACTTTTGTAATTTAATAAATGTTGAATTGGATGCCCATATAGCTCACTATATAAGGTATACATTTCTCTATTATTGAGTATTACTTTCGAGGCCAAAATGACTAAGGGAACTTGTCCTCAAAATAATATAATTCAAACATTAATATAAAATTAAATTAAATTAAAAATCAAATGAGATTTGAGAGCATGTTTGTTTATGGAAATTTTTTGTTTTGTTTGGATTTTTGGTTTAGTTTGGTTAACTTTGAAAAAAGTGGTATGGTTAGGTGTTAGTGGGTATATTAAAATAATATTTAAAATAAAATAATTAAAATTGATGTGATGTAAAAGTAGGAGAGAGATGATTTGATGTGATAGTTAGTTAAAATAATATGAGTGGATGAATAGTGAATTAAGATTGATGTAGTGTGTATAAATGATTGATTAATATTATTTAATTATATTGATAATATTAATGATAGTGAAGTTGAGTTGAAGTTGAGTTAAAAAAAGTGATTGAGTTAAAATGTTGGGAAATTTTTTGAAAATTCTTGTAAACAAACATGCTTGAAGTTTTCTCATATTTTTTTCTACTTGATTTAACTGGATTGGTGGATTGAATTATAAAGAGGCTTTTTGGGCTGTGAGGGTTGTTGGGTTTGGGTCCTTGAAAAGGGTGGAGATGATGGGCCCACCAAATCTACCATAGAGATACAACTTACCTCAGTGATATTGCCTTCATAAAGATACAACTAATGTCAGCAATTTGCCTTCATAAAGATACAGATTACGTCAGCGATCTAGATACAGCTTACATCAGCGATATTGCCTTTATTTGCTTGCTGTGAAAAATATTTTTGTCCCTTAAAATATTTTGTGCGGGTGGTGACTGGTGACTGGTGACTGGTGAGCAAGTGGTCCAAAGAGTGGCCAAAATTTATTTATTTATGAAACGTTTTATAATAATTTTTGTAGTCTACTTTTAAGATTTTATTTTACAAGATGACCTTAATCAATTTTTTCTATGATTAATTTTTTACATTGACTTATGCACAATTAGGGTCGAGAATATAGACCTGAGAATCGTAAAACCGAACACGACCGAATCAAAATAACCGATTCAATCCGGTTATTTGAAAAATATGTTTTTATTCGGTTATTTTTTCCTATTTCAAATGTATATGTATTAATTGAGAAACCGACTATGTATATACAATATGAACTTTTTTGTTTATATGTACTAATCGGTCCAGATTCGTGACTCTAGAAAGAGCAACGTACAACTATCCATGACTGAAAATAAGGGTTCTTCTAGTCTTGACTCTTGTTGATTGTCATAGCATAGGAGACCATGAAAGAAATTTGTCTGTTGAAACTTGAACGGTATCCTCAAACAAATAAGGAATAATAAAATGTGTATCGTATTTATTATAATGGTCAGCAAATATAAACATTTGGGTCGAAATTATCTACTGAACAAATAATTGCATTCTAAACAATTGCTGAATTGGGCTGCATAACATATTAAAAAATGTGGTGAATTGGGTTTAATTTTTTATTAAAAATATGTAAATGTGACTTGGGTCGATATTCTAGTAAGACTATTTATTTAGTGGGCCCGATTTGGTTAAGCCAAAAAAAAAAATACAAATTGAACCGTATACACAATTTTTTTTGAAAAAAAAATCACCGGTTACCAAAAAAAGGATTACAATACCCTCGACTTAAATAATCCAAATGTTCCATGATGCAAACTTATTTCTTTCTTGTTGTCGGCGAATCACGCGTTTTATCTCTCTGTAAAAAATATCCAAGATCTCATTTTTCTAATCAATTTTTGTCGATAATCATGCCATTTTCTTTATTTTTTTGTCATCAAATTCTAAAATTTTTCAAAATGTATAAAATTTCAAATGAAACATAGATGTAACACCAAAATTATTCCGATTTTACAATCTCATTTTACTAAAGCATAGTAAAAAAAGTGCAAATCGGTCGATTACATAACATATCTATCAAGATCTAGAATTATTGGTTTTGATTTAAGATTCCTCGTCCCTATTTGGCTAAAATGCTTCAATGAATCATAAGAAAATGGTTCAATCGGGGGATTAGTACGGATCTATCAAGATCTGTAATCAATGATAAGAATTTATGATTTTTTTTATTAAAATCGTGTTTTTAGTTAATTTCAGAAGTCGATTTGATATTTTTTGTTTTAATTTTAAATTGTCGTCCCTATTTTGCTAACATACTTCAATGAATCATAATAAAATGGTTCAATAGGGCGATTATAGTACGAATCTATCAAGATTTGTAATGTTTGTTGAGAATATATAATTTAAAAAAAAAAAACATTTTTTCAGTTGATTTCGGAAGTAGCTAAGATATAAAATCTTATTTTAATGTTTTTTTTTTGTCGTTTTCTTTCAAAAAAATTTGAAATATCTACACAATTTGATTTTTTTGGCAAAAACATAGATTTGTTTTTGCAAAAATTGAACGGATCTTGTTATATTTAAAGAAATTCTTATGGTTTCTTGAAAAATATACACGTTGTTCGGTTGCAACAGTCGATTGCACATAAATATGAGCCATATGTCCGGTTTTCAAATAAAATAAAATAAAATCTTTAAGTACATCTCATTTCTACTCGCAAATTTGTTAAAAAAAAATTTGATATTCATTTAAGTTGATTATTAAATATTTTACTTTAATTTAAGGATGTGCGATCGAACAGAGGTTAAAGCACTAAATAAACTAAATAAAAAAATATCATCCTTGAATTTTGTAGGGAATAAATGGAAAGTGCAATTACAATAAAAATCAACGACTCATCAGACCAACCAGATAACCAAAATAAAAAAGAAAAAAAACAAGCAAAAGAAGTTCATCAAGATCAAATTTTTTTTAGCTAAGCAGGTAAAAAAAGCTATACTATTTAACCATAACCAATAGAAATAACAAATAAAAAAAAGGGTAATTATATACATTCTTAAACTCTTATGGCAAAACCCATGACTGGATATTGTAATTCAATGCGGGATAATAAAATTAAATAAGAGAAATAGTAACTGCTTTAGGCGGGAATTGAAAAATAATAAAACTAAATTAAATGCTGAAATATTTTGGCGGGATAATATAATTAAATGCATGATAATAAAATTAAATGACGTGTTGCTCCAAATTATATATATATATATATATATATATATAGATGGTATATTTACTTTCCAATTTTACTCCATTAATATTCATTGTTTTACTTTTTTTATATCAAAATTATTTTTCTTTAACCTTTCTCTCTTCTTTTCTTCTCTATCCATTTTTTCCCCCACGATCTCTATCTCCCTTTTTCTTCTTCTTCTTCTTCTCTTCTTCTTTCCTTTGCACAATAATATTCTCTAATTTTGTTTTTTCTTCCAAATTCACACGATACACTCTTTAAAAACCAAAAAACTGTTGTTATTGTTCTGCCCAACAATAAAATTAGGGTTGTTGTAGATCCACTATATCTCTCTCTCACAAATTTAAGATTGAAATTCAAAAAATCAAAGCATCTTTTAGTACTAGGGTTGGAGTCACTCCCGACTTGGCCTAAAGCTTCAACCTAAGACAAGTACTTTGCCCGAAATTGATCTGGCGGAGCTTCACAATCAATCTAGCCAAATGCACCTCGGCTTTGCTTTGAACCACTCATCAGGTAATTATTGTGATTGTCTCTATGTTTGTTTGCCCTAATTTTACTTGTTCAAATATGATTCATTTTGAGGCGAACGTCGAAAAGAATTTACGGAGTTGTTTATACTTGTTTGATTGAATTACTTTGTTTAGAGGTTATTTTTAGTTTATTCATATTTTTTGGTGATATATGTGGTGCTACAACAATCATGTTTAATTTAAATTTTTTTATTCATATTTGTTGGATACATTTTTAATAAAAAATATTCACTAATTAATTTTCTAATTTAAAATTTATTTTGTAAAATACGAGTGGTAGAAATACAATAAAGTGAACGGATGATATTGAATATAATTGGGTGTGTATCCAATTGCACATTGGGTGTGTATATCCAATTGCACAACCTCCTTTATCAAAGTATGAAATAAAATTACTCAAATAGTGTTGGCAATTTCTATTAAATTACTCTTGATAGTATATTCATAATATTCATATATGAGGGGAAAATATCAAAATATACATTTTAGGTCAAAAAAATTGCACTGTAATATAAAACAATAAAGTTGGCAGGTAGTTAGAGAGGTTGAAAAAGAAAAATATTTGGAATAGACAAAATGGAAATAGTTTGAGATGTTGAAAAGAAAATCCTTTCATATTATTTGGAGTAGGACTCCATCATATGTTCATATCTACTCAAACATTTGAAGTATAATATATCTACTCAAACATTTGAAGTATAATCTTATCTACTCAAACAAAACCAAATGGAAGACCACAAGAACTGAAATATGGCTATCAATACTAGGGCTGCAAACAAATCTGGTCGTGCTCTGACCAAATATGAGTCGACATAGAGCACCTCAAACTCAAATTCAAGCCGAAATTTAGCTTGTAGAGTCGAGTGCTCGAGCTAGAGCACCTCGAACTCAAACTCGTGCTCAACAAACAAGCAAACTGAACAAGTATGGGTGATTTACTTAAATTACTCAACTCAAGCTAAATTCGAGCAAAAAATCAAGAATAAATCTTATTTGATTATAAAGTTTTTATTAAAATTCAAGCCAAACTCGAGCAAAGACGAGCCCATCTCAAGCATTTTTACATTTTTTTAGAGCAGACTTAAAAGGTAGGGCAACATTGAAAAAATTTGCACCTAGCTCAATAAAGGTATTTTTTCACCTTGCACATAAGGCCAATCTCCGGCTTGGGCCGCTTGGCTAGTTTACAGCCCTAATCAACACCTCAAAAAACACCGGGCTCCAATAAACACACACCAAACAAGAATTAAAGTACCTTTCAGCCCTAAAATTCTAATTCGTTCAGCAAAACAAACCTGGTCAAGCATATGGCATCATTTACAATCCACACAAGAAAACCGGCAATGAACAAACAGTGGAATAAAAGCAAACCAAAATTTAAACACAGCAATCAACTTCATTTTAGCCAGAAAATGTAGCAACTACAGCTAAAAATTGTCCCATAGTTTCAACGGAGATTCTTGAAAAACACAGCAAAACAAATTTAAAATATCCAAATCACAAATCCTCAGAATTTAAACTTCAATTTAGTTCCAAAAAAAAAGACATACTATTGAGCACGACGGTGAAAGAGCAACCGCTACCAACCTCTCAACGGTAGGATTTCTGGAACCTGGCGCGGGCACCACGCCCACCGAACTTCTTCGGCTCGCAGCGCCTCGGGTCGGCCACCAGCAGCGTCCTGTCGTACCTCACGAGAATGTCCTTGATCTCCTTCTTCGACTGCTCGTCGACGTACTTCTGGTAGAATGCAACGAGGGCCTTGGAGATCGACTGGCGGATGGCGTAGATCTGGGAGGTGTGGCCGCCGCCCTTGACGCGTATGCGCATGTCGACGCCGGCGAAGCGGTGGCGGCCGAGGAGGAGGATTGGCTCGAACACCTTGTAGCGGAGGATCTCGGGCTGGATGAGCTCGATCGGGACGCCGTTGATCTTGATAAGGCCGCGGCCGCGCTTGCAGTGGGTGACCGCGACGGCCGTTTTCTTGCGGCCGAAGCACTGGACGGATTCGGTTGGCGCCGCCATGGCTGCGTGAGCTGCTGCTTTTCTCTCTCTCGTTTACGCGGCAGAGGAAATCCCTAATTCGGCGAGGAGGCTTTGAAGGGCGTTTGAGAGTGGTGAGAGTAATATATGTTTTGGAGCTTTGATTGCTTGGATTAGGGTTTTTGGTGGTGAAATGACCGAAAAACCAGCAATCGCTGGTCACTGCTCAGTGTATGTTTGGGCTCAATTGGTTTCACTTTGTATTGGCCCATAGGTTTATTTTGGGCTTAAATTGTATTTGGGCAATATATCATTTTTCAAATGAATTTTATTAAAAATAGCAACACATTTTTTTTGTAGCACTTCTAAAAATAATAGCATCATCTAATATGAAAAATAGCATCGTACACAATTAAAAATAGCATAAAAAATAGTTCTCACGGTTCTCACACCAGAACTAGTTTTTATTTGAACCAACCCTTATATATATATATATAGGTAAGGCTACAATCCCGTTACGGAACCATTCCGTTGGGATTTGTAACCGTTAGATCAAGCATCATTGACGGTTACTTGATGATCTAACGGTTACAATCCCAACGGAATAGTTCCGTAACGGGATTGTAGCATTTTCCTATATATATATATATATATAGATAGATTAACTAATAGGTTGAAATTATCTTTGTGTTTTGAAAAAACGTGTCTCTGAGTTCGCTACTACAATTTGCCACTACACAAGGTTAGGGTTAAGGCTTAACTAGTGATTAGTGTATATACTTGTATGCAATATATAATTGCTATGACTAATTGAAAAACAAAATATTATTTAATTTATTTTTATTTATACGTTTTACTTATGATTTATGGCATATGGTAATTCATTATTTTATTAATTTAATTAGCTCTACCATTTAAAATTTATAATTTATGTGATTTTCATTATGATATAAGATATATATATATATATATATATATATATATATATATATATATAAGTAGCTTGGCCGAATTATTAAAAATATTACATAATAATAACAATAGTTTGTTCTTCCATAAATTTCCTCTTCGATTAAAGTTGTAAATGGCAACTACCAAAATGCCAAAGGCTAACAACTTATAAGAATTAACTAATAGTTTCAAATTAACTTTGTGTTTTGAAAAAAAACGTGTCTCTGATTTGTCTACTACAATTTGTCACTAGACAAGGTTAGGGTTAAGGCGTAACTAGTGATTAGTGTATATACTTGTATGCAATATATAATTTTAAAAAACAAAATATTATTTAATTGTATTTTTATTTATACGTTTTACTTATGATTAATGGCATATGGTAATTCATTATTTTATTAATTTAATTAGCTATACCATTTAAAATTTACAATTTATGTGATTTTCATTATGATATAAGATAAAATATCAATATTTTAAAATATTTTTAACTTTATAATATCTTCTATCATGTAATATTGTAAAATATCTTTAACTTTATAATATTCAAAATTTAATATATAATGTGTATAAGATTAAACTTTATAAAATATAATAATTATTTTAACTATTATAACTGTAATGTTTATTTATTTGTTTCTAAGATTATTATAATGTGCACTCTCTATGATGTCTTTATTTAAGTTGAGACATAAACCTTATAATGTTTTTTTATATTAATTTGATGTTCATAGTTACTTTACATATTATTTTTTTTCAAATAAAATAACTTTTTTATATTATGTTAATACACATAAATATTTTATTACTTTATAAGTTAATTTATAGTTATATTTGATACTTTTTAATTTAATTTAATAAGTAAAATTAAATTTTCTTTATAAGGATATATGTCAATGTTTTGTATTTTATATATATAATATGGATGCCAAATCGAAGATCGTTAAAAGATAATTAATTTGATATATCTTATATGAAAACTAAAATACAAACAACAAAGTTATAAAATTTAAAAAATAAGAAGAAAAAATATTTTATAATAATTGATATATCAATTATATAATAAAAAAAATATAAAATATGTTAATGAAGGAAATATAAACTTAAAACAATTTTATATAACTAATTGTAGAAGAAAATAACGAAAAAAATCAATCATGTACTTAATATGAATATATAATATATATATTAAATGAAATCCAAGACTATTATTTTTGTATAAAAATATTAATTTATATTAAAGTCTGATTCCGAAGTATGATTTTTTGCCATTCCAAAACGTGAGAGTCTACCACTTAGACTCAACGCATTCGGTAATTGATGTTATTTAAAAGTCAATTACACAAAAAAAAAAAGAAAAAATAATTCATAAACAATAAAGATTAATATACTTCAAATTAAAATAATAATTTTATAAATATAAAAATAAAATACAACGAATAAAATAAAATAAAACGAATATAATTTGATCTAATCAATTATCAGGGAAGTCCATGCTTAACATAGTAGTCGTAACATACTATTCACAGATTTCAAATTAGAAAAATACGCAAGTGAATGTTTCTACTTGTGTTGTCAATTTAGTTGTACATTAAGTTGGCATTGTAGCGTTTTCCAATTCATTTTGGTTAAAAATAGCATCAAACACAATCAATCATAGCACTACGTCCAAATAAAAATAGCGGTTCTCACGGTTCTCACACTAAGACTTGGTTCTCATTTGAACCACATCCTATATATGTATATATATATATATATATATATATATATATATATGTATAATAAGAATCACTATTTACTAAAAATAGTAAACAAAAAAATCTGGCAACATTAATTGCATACCATTTCGGTCAAGTTTTGTTTTTATTTTTTATTTATTAAATGAGAAAATTTTAAATATGCCTTCAATTACGGATACTTAGTTTTAGTAACCAAATTGCTCAGTTTGGGTACAAATAGTACTTTTAAAAATTTAAGTTTTATTTCAATACCACTCCTTTTTAAAATTAATTGATATCAACATTCATTAATTTGGGCAAAAAAAACTTGCAAATTCATAACTCATAATAATTGTGTGCAATTCATCAAAATCAATGATATCACATAATGTATTGTCAAATTTGTATTTGTATGTTTTCAGCCGAGTTGAGTTTTAAAAGAAAAAAATCATTTGGACGCAAAAAAATTTTGTGTAACAAAATAATTTTGCCGATAAAAAAATAAAAAATCTATCGACACACACGGAACTTCTAAGAGTTTTTTTTACTAATCGTAAACACCCAAAAAATCCGAGCCTAAAAGTATAAAAATTGAACATAAAATCCTTAAAATAAAAATTTTACATTTCTTTTTCGGGCAAAACAACTAAAATTATCAAAATCTAACGGCGCACACTCAAATTCGAAGGGTTCTTTTGATTAATTGTAAAATCCAACAAATTCGAACATAAAATTACAAAAATAAAAAATAAAAACCCTCAAATTGAACAATCCATATTTTGTTTCGTGCAAAACACCTAAAATTAATTTAAAGCATTGATTAAATGAAAACTAAAAAAGAATATTTATTTATAAGACCCTCAGTGTTAGAACGGAAAAGTTGGAAGAAGATCGATGAAAAAAGATGAAAGAAGAATGTAACAGCTCAGCTCACCCGCAGGAGTATATTGTCCGCTTTGGGTACTCTTACCCTCAGGGTTTTGCCTTTGGGAGCTAGTTCACCAAAACGCGTCCTACAGGTTAAGGTATCCACACCTACTTATAAGGCATGCTTCGTTCTCCTTAACAACCAATGTGGGATATCTAATCCACCCCCCTTAGGGACCCAGCGTCCTCGCTGGCATAGCAGTCCGGGTAGTGGCTCTGATACCATCTGTAACAGCCCAACTCACCCGCAATAGAATATTGTCCACTTTGGGTACTCTCACCCTCACAAGTTTGCCTTTGGGAGCTAGCTCACCAAAACGCTTCCTACAGGTTAAGGTATCCACACCCACTTATAAGGCATGCTTCGTTCTCCTTAACAACCGATGTGGGATATCTAATAATTAGATATTATCATCTGTTGTTATCATTTGGATTGAGTATGACATTCGAGGATCATTAGATATCCCACATCGATTGTTAAGGAGAACGAAGCATGCCTTATAAGTGGGTGTGGATACCTTAACCTGTAGGACGCGTTTTGGTGAGCTAGCTCCCAAAGACAAACTTGTGAGGGTGAGAGTACCCAAAAGGGACAATATTCTACTGTGGGTGAGCTGGGCTGTTACAAATGGTATTAGAGCCAGTACCCGGACTGCTGTGCCAGCGAGGACGCTGGGTCCCCAAGGAGGGTGGATTAGATATCCCACATCAGTTGTTAAGGAGAACGAAGCATGTCTTATAAGTGCGTGTGGATACCTTAACTTGTAGGACGCGTTTTGATGAGCTAGCTCCCAAAGGCAAAACGGGTGAGAGTACCCAAAGCGGACAATATTCTACTGCGGGTGAGCTGGGCTGTTATAAAGAAGCTGGAAGCGGTGAAAGATGAAGGAAGAAATGAAGCCCTTGGTCCGTTAATTTCACTAATTATACTATGTTCAGTGTAATCTAAACCGTCGATTTGCGTTGACTGATCTAGATCATTGGATTATTTTTTATGTTTTGTTTGGGCCGATAGGAACTTTCAAAGCCAACATTGTAAATTGGGCCGATATGAATTTTTTAAAGCCCACACTTTAAAAAACATTCCTATTTTACAAGCCCAACATAATTAATATAAATAATTACACGTATCTAAATATTTGTTAGGTTTAATTATAATCAATGATCGATGCTTTATTATATCATTTGAATTTAAATACAAAATTGACTTTTAAAAAAGATAGAAATAATAAAACCTCGTGCATCGCACGAGTTCTGTATTAGCCTTTGGCATTTTGGTAGTTGCCATTTACAACTTTAATCGAAGTGGAAAATTATGGAAGAACAAACTATTGTTATTATTATTATGTATTATTATTAATAATACGGCCAAGCTACTTATCTATCTATATATATATATTTTGCCATTTTCAAACTTGATAGGGTTGCATGGATCTTTATTGATAATTCAAATTTCTTAATTGCCATGACAAAGTCATAAAGTATTTTAACTTATATGTTACGAACTATTATCCAACTATTTTGCCTAAAAACCATGCCAAACATATTAATTTGTAAATGGTTAAAAAGTCGTCTAATTTGACTAACTATTTTCTTAATTCTATTTGTTGTGAGTTTGTGTAACACCCCGCTTATCAGAGTAAATTTTTCTCAACTTTTACTTCGAAAATACTTATATCTCTTTCGAAATCTTTTGCGACTATTTCGGGATGCTACTCAACCTTACATCTTGAAAATCCATTTATCTTTAACCTCTTACATAATTAAATAGATTTTCTTTAAACTTGCATTTAACCATATCCATCCTTCTCAAATTTATAAAAACTTCAAATCATAAATTCATTTAAGAAAATGCAAGTTCAATAGTCAATATGCGTAGCGGAATAATCGAAAGCGTGATTTATTATACAAACTTTATTAAAGACTTCATACAAATCCTTGGAAATGCACAACCACCACCAAAACGTCTCGAGCTCACACCTCCGGCCCGACCCTGTTTCCTGAAAAACACAATGGGGGTGAGTACGATCCTCTTGTACCCCGAAAAACACCCATACTAAAGTAAACAGCAATAATAATACAATATCATGATCTCCGGTATATAACTGGACTTAAACTCTTCCAGTATCTCAACTTCATCTCACCGATATCTCATCGGATACTTGTGCACAATCTAATGGATATTTCTCAGGCAACTCAACGGCCTCCATTAGAACTTAGGAAATACTCTTAAGGCAACTCATCGGCCTTATTCCCAAGCGTATAAACTTAAACTTTTACATACCTCGGACATGATATCAATATTATACTCAATGTAATACCCAGTCTGGGTCCCCACCTTTCGTCTTTTGAAAATCGTAAGTGTTGTTCTCGAGTAGCAACTCTTCAAGCTACAAAAATATATATATAAACAAATATACTAAGTACTTATGCTCATATACTCAATAAGATGCTCATTTTCTCAATTCTTTCGGTTAACTCATCCAAATCTTATAGAAATCATATTTTTCTCAAATTAACTTTTTCTCAATCTTTTACTCAATCAATCACTTAACTCATCATATATCATATTCCCCAAATCTTACATATTTACTCATACTCCTTTTTCACTTATACATCTTGAAAGTGAAAATAAACTCAAGCATACTCATCTTATCATTTAATGATATTAATATGCCATATTTAATACAATTTTTTATAAAATTGTATACTCAACATATTAAATCAAAACTTTGTCAAATTGCTCATCACTCATATGAGAATAGATCATGAAAATCTCATTTTAACAATTTGATCATATCATGAATATTCTTGCATATATACTCATCTTCACATATATGCCTTCTCATATTCATAACTTATTCATTTCTCATCTTTAAATTATGAAACTTAACAGTCATAATCTCAACTTATAATTAGACATGTCATCAAAATTTCATAATTTTATCATGCATATTCATCAAGTTATGAGAATTTAAATTCAATAATGAACATAAACTTCATCTTACATGTTCATCTTCAAAAATTCATAACTCAAGTTATATTTTACCAAATCACTTAATTCTTGATCTTATGTACTCCTCTTTTACATAAGAATTATTCATTTAAATCATACTTTTCCAGCATATTCATATCTTTATGAAAATCTCATGAAATTCAACATCTTATCACATCAAGTACATATATCATATAATTGATCTTTAACAACTTTAACTCTTTGTATCAATTATAAACTTCAACTTCTAAATCATGATATACATACTCATAAACATGTAAACATATCATCAAAACATGAACTTAGTTATGAAACTTTAAGATAAGTAAATTACCTCCTTCTTGGTAAAGTGAAAACTTGATCTTAACTTCAATTCTTCACTTCTCCAAAGATTTCTATCACTTATCTCTCTCTCACTCTTATATAAATTTTTGGAACTTTATTTTGGTGTGTAAAACTCTGAACTTTAGGCCTCTATTTATAGGCAAAATTGTGAGAAACATCCAAATAGAATGAATTTTTATTCATAATAAACAAATGTAACTTATATCTTTAAATACTCATAAAATATTTTATGATCAACTTATTCAACTCTCCAAACATATTATATACTTAGAAATTTCCTTTGGATAATTTGGACAACCATCCAAATAGAGTGAATTTTGGATCATAATAAACAATACAAACTTGAAAAAAAATAAATATAAATAATAAATAGTATTCTTAACATGTAAACTTCTCCAACTCATAGTCAATGCTTAGAAAAGCCCCTCTTATGATCCTAATATGATCTTAATGAGTAAATTCGAGATTTAGTGAAAATTCTCCAATTTACAGAACCAATTTCTGACTTAAAACGAACAGTTACCGTAAAATCAAAAATTCTTACAGTTTTCGAATTTCCTTCTTTTCTTTTGGTATTTTTCATTTTTATGCTGAAAAATTTTTCTTATCTTGTATTCTACTAAATTTATAGAGAGAAAATAATTTAATGTATTTCTCGGAAAAATAACTGAAATAACATAATAACTGAGAGGGATATTACAGTTTGACTTATGCATTGGTTTGGCAAACATAGCTAGCCCTATAATCTCCAATGCTATTAAGAAGTATAATAAAATACATGTCAAAAATGACCACAAATTAAATGAATGTGGATTCACACTATATTACTAATAAATAAATTTATTATCAGCTAATGTGGCAAAATTTTTACCTTTGCAACAAACAACACACCTGTTAGCCAGCATATAACAAATTATTAGAATAAAGATCAAACTCGAGATTTATATAATCTACCGACAAAAAAAAAAGTAGCTCCATTGGATCGAATCATATTTATTTATTATCCATCCTCATCAAATGAAATACAAATTCAAATCTCAAATTCCATAATTGGAAAAGGACTTAATAATTTGAAAAAAAATAACAGTTCAAACGGTTCGATCAGCTAATACGCCGACACAAAGTAATCCCATCACCCACTGGCAGTTGACAAATCTCGATCCTTGGATCCACCGCAAGGGCCTTATTGAGCTCAAGCACAAAATCTCTGTAGTACCGAACATATTTTCTCAATGGGGCATCGGGTGGCGCCACCACAGACCCGTTCCATAGGGTGTTGTCGTAGCCAATCACACCTCCAATTTTAACTAAGTCAATGAGTCGCTTATGATAGTTGAGGTAGTTATCTTTGTCAGCATCGACAAATATGAAGTCGAATGAGCCATGATACATTCCCTACAAAATGCATGAATAATTAGACAAATTTGTTAATTTGGGATAAAATAGTCAATATGTTTTGGAAAAAATTGGGAAATGTTTGGTTTGAGATTTTACTTCTTCAATCATTTGATCAAGAACGGGCAAAGCTGGGCCTTCTTTGAAGTCAACTTTGTGGGCAACACCAGCTTTTTTTAACACAGGCAGTCCCAACTCATAATTATCCTTGTTAATGTCCATGGCTAGTATCTGCACAATTAGCACACAAAAACAATATTGTTAGTGATTCATCATTAATGTAACAATTATTATTATTATTATTATTATTATCCTTTGTTATTACCATGTTAGCAAGAGTTTTTAATCCAAAATTTGATTTTAATTAATACATTAAGGATTAGAGCCTATATAATAAGGTACACTGCCTATAAATAATAAATGCAATTAGTTAATTAATTAATTACAACAGTCACATACATTAAAGATTCAAAGGACAGGACCATATTGTCAAAACATCAATGGTTTTTGCAAATACCCCTTTATTTGGTAAATAAAACTTTATTGGTATGAGTACGAGTTAATATGTTCACCAAATCAGGAGTTCTATTTATCATACACAAATAATATNTAGTCCTTTTTGTCGAATTAGCTTCCAGTTTTACAAAATAAAATAAAACAAAAAATGAGTTTCTACCTTTCCATCATCAGGAAGTGCAAGAGCAGTGGCCAAAAGAGAGTAGCCTGTGTAAACCCCAATCTCCATTGTATTCTTTGCATTTATAAGCTTCAGTAGTATGTTCAGGAACTGCCCCTCGTCAGCAGATGTCGTCATAATATTCCTTTTTTTGCAAAAATAAAAACCACAATTTAATCATAAAAAAATATATAAAATTGCATAAACAAATTAAATTTTCACTAGGCACTAACAATATATTTACTAGCATTTTTTTCAGAATAGATTAATTGATTAAAATTTAAACTGACCATGGATGCTTGGCAGTGATTTCCCTTAGCTCCTTCATGGGCTCTGGCTCTCTTGGATAAACACTGGTCTCTAGAATGTACTGTAAATTCAATATTAATCAATGAGACACAAAAATTATTATAAAAATATAAAAATAATGGTAACTAAAAATTGAAAATTAAGTGAAAAAATCATCATGTGTATATGATCCAACGGATTGCATAAACCGATAGGGTTGAATAAAAATCAAGATATTTTCAATATCACCTTAATAACATGAATANGATTACCTGGTAAAGGGCATCACTCTGCAAAAGGCTCTTGTGCCCAACTTCTTGGTGCCTCCCATCCTGGTTCTCCACACCATTTTGTGCCATTTTTTTATTTAATTTAATTATTTTCTCTTATATATAATTTGGATATTGGATTGTTATTTGCTCCTGAATTGGCTTTGGAATGAAGATGGATATATAGCTATTACAAAACCGGTTCAGATCGGGTGTTTGGGGGTTGGTGGATTAGTGGGCCGCTCAACGAACCGGTCCGGGGTTGGTAAAAAATGCACAGTGAGTGGTTTAGTGGAGGCCCAATTAGTAGAGGGAACTGGACAAGATAGGTGAGGTAGGGCCCAATCATGAGGCTGATTCGTTGGGATGATTACGTGGCGCGGCGAAGGATATTATTCCCAGCGCGCGGCGCACGTGGTCCGTGCCGACGTGGTGTATGCTGCTTGTTGGGGAAGGTCATTGGTGGGGGAAAAGGCCAATGGGAGGAGTCCACGTGGCATGGTGTTCGGTGGGAGGACGGTGAGGGGTTTTGGGTGGGAAGAATGTTGCGCGTTGTGGTTTTCTTGGTGTTGCCATTTTGGTCATTATTTGGTGTACAAATCTACCTAATTTCAAAAAAAAAAAAGTTACTTGTTTTATAAGAAATTTGGTGATAAATAAGTTAGTACAAAATAAGTTTATTATTTGTTCATTGTATGCAATTAGTAATTGTTAATAATTTTTCATTGATTATTATAATTCTATATTTAAAAATTATACTTTAGAAAATAGTTTAACTAGTTTTTTTTTTCCCCTTAAAAGTACTCAATTTATCAATCTAACGTTATTTTACAGTAGAATTGTAGTTAAACATACCAAACTCAAGTTGCTCTACTCAAACTTAAACTAGAAATTTTATCAAATCGGGCAAAGTTTAACTTGTTAATAAACGAGTCGTATAAAACTAACTCAAGCTTGACTAATTTATCAATATTAATGAGAAGAATTGAGTTTTACTCATTAACTAAGCGAGATCAGGTTTTAGCAAGTCGAGCTGAACTCAATAGCACATCATTTAATTCATTTAACACCACTAGTAAAATTTTTATAATAAAAATACACTTAGAAAACTACACTTTGTTTAGGCCAACAAAAATCGCAATGCTTGATTTATTATGGAAAAATGGGCTTACTCAAAATTAGAAAATTGTATTAAGTCAATGGCCAATGACTTTGAGGTTGGTGAAGGGTTGGGCCAGCAAGACTTGAAAGGTCCTACCTTACCAACCGAACGACTCAGCCTACTATCAAATTATTTTCTTTCTTCTATATTTCAAATTCCTTTTATTCTCTCTAAAAAAAATTAAGGTTCTTAATTTTTAAAGTTCCAAAAGTAATAATAATTACGCCATATTTGATAATCTTAAATTATATTTTATATGAAACAACTTATCATATTATTAAAAAAATGCTGTTTATAGAGACAAAGATGTCGAGTATTAATATTGTCTATCTCAACTACGTATAATAATATGCATATTTTTTAAAAATATATAAGTATCTGATAATTATATTTGTCTTAACAATAAAAAGTAAATATTGTAACTTAACTTAGCATATCTATCATTATATAAAAAGAATAACTTTTTTACAATTTTATAAATGTTTTTCCGCCAAATACATTAAATGTATCCTTTATATAGTAACTAGTGAGCAACCCGTGCGATGCACGGTGAGGCTTGTTCTTCAAAACCTATTTAAAATTTTATTTCTACATATAATTACTAAAGTTTAAACATTTTATTTTGGCAAAAAATTAGATACAGAGTATGAAAAATCATATATTGTTGAACAGTTCCCTATACACAATATTTTTTATTTGAATATGTGGCAAACTTTCTTGTCAACAAATTAAAATTTTCAAACAATTGTGTGAAAAAAATTAAATTATAATATATTATTTATAGTGTAATAAATCGTAATATATTATTTTTAATGTGATAAAATGTGTTGGGATAACTATGACCATTTGAAAAAATATTTAATAGTAATCTTAAAACTTTAATAAATGTAAAAAGATAAATATGACCATTTGAAGAAATATTTATTTGTAATCTTAAAATTTTAAATTTTGATAAATGATTGTATATATGCGCCAAATTTTTAGGAACCAATCGATCATATAATATAAAATTCTTATATGATTTCCAGAGTCTTACGAACGTGACATGAACTTCATTTTTTAATTTCAAATTTAAACAAATCAAAAGACAAATTATTAGGTAGTTATGAAAAAATGTATCCAACAAACTATTTTTTAATTTCAAATTTAACAAATCAGAAGACAATTATTAGGTAGTTATGAAAATAGTCTCCAACAAACTTCAAATTAAACGACACACAACCATCAGATTTGGAGTTGGTTGCAGTCGGTGATCACCACCCGTCTCGAGGTCCGGTGGCTCCCCGACCCGACATTCTCCACCGCCTTCAATATGTCGTACTCCTCCACCACCTGCCCGAACACCACGTGCTTGTTGTCAAGCCACTTCGTCCTTGTCGTGCAGATGAAAAAGTACGTGTCATTTGTCCCCAGAACAGCCTTCGCCATTGACAGGTCCCGATGTGCTTTCTCATGATGTTCTCGTCGGTAAACTTGGCGTTGTAGATCGACTTGCCATCGTTACCCGCAGTGAAGTCACTGCTCTGACAAATGAAATTGGGGATTATACGATGGAAGGATGACCCTTTGTGGTGGAGGGGCTTGCCAGATTTGCCGACGTCCTTCTCGTTGGTGCATAGGGCGCAAAAGTTCTCGTCGGTCTTCGTGACGACGTCGGCGAAGAGCTCCATCACGATTCAACGGCGGGGCTGCTGATGGTTATGTCGAAGTAAACCCTAAGATTCGATAGGTTGATTTGAATTTTTTATTTAGGAGTTTTTTGTGATTTTTTTTTTTTTTGACTAACTGATTTTTTTTTTGGTCTCATACTTAGGGTTTTGTAATTGGATGGGGAGGGGTTTATATAAGGGATCGATTGAGTGCAAACTTTAAAAAGATGGATTCTTTCTAAACTTTAGAAAGATATTGTAGTTAGATAAATATGGAGAAAAAAGTATTTACCAGGAATTCACATAATATGAGATTCTTTCCAAACTTTAAAAAGATTTTGTAGTTTAATAGATATGGACAAAAAAATATCCATAGATAGAGATTTACCCGGATTTTCAAACCTTTTTTTGTATATATATATAAATCAATTTGTGCTTTAGGTGGGAATTTACCCTTTTTTTTAATAAATTCATTATCAGTAAAAACAAAAATTTTATGCGGGATTTTACATACTATTCACAGCTAAATGTTTTGCGTTTTTATATATTCATGGATATATATTTAAGTCGTGAATTTTTTATATTATATGATTATATGGCTAAAAATATGTTGTTTCAATCAAATAAGAAAAACAAATCAATATATTTACACACAAAATTCAGAAATATAAATAATTTATGGAGGATTGAAGTTTATCAATACTTAGTATAACATCTATTATTCTCGGAGCAACTTTTTGTTTGATTTGCAACATTAATTTGAATGAAAAAAAAATCCGTAATTGTGGGAATATCTTGATTCAAAATCTCAATTTTTTGGCATAAGAATCTCCAAATTTGTTACCAATAAAAATGAGATTCGTATTGATGAAATGAATTAAAGTTTGGCATAAGAATCTCCAAATTTGTTACCTTAAGAATCTCCAATTTTTATGGGATATCTCATTAAATTTGATTCCTAAAGAAAATAAGTTGTTTCAATCAAATAATTCATATATTATTTCAATTAAAGAATATAAACCACCAAAAAATAGAGAAGATGTTAGGATTTAGGTCATAAAATAATGTAATTTATTATATCCAAGAAAACCAAATCAATATATTTACACACAAAATTCATAAATATAAATAATTTACGGAGGATTGAAGTTTATCAATATTTAGTATAATATCCCTTATTCTCGGAACAATTTGTTGTTTGATTTGCAACATTAATTTGAATGGAAAAAAAAAATACATAATTGTTGGGATATCTCAATTCAAAATTTCAATTTTTGCCATAAAAATCTCCAAATTTGTTACCTATAAAAGTGAGATCCGTATTTATGAAATGAATTAAATTTTGGCATAAAAATCTCCAAATTTGTTACCTTAAGAATCTCAAATTTTTTTGGGATATCTCACTTAAATTTATTTCCTATAGAAAATAAGTTGTTTTAATCAAATAAGTCAAATATTATTTCAATTAAAGAATATAAACCACCAAAAAATAGAAAAGAAGTTAGGATTTAGGTCCTAAAATAATGTAATTTAGTATTATTTAGGAAAAAAAATCAATATATTTACACACAAAATTTATAAATATAAATAATTTATAGAGGTTTGGAGTTTATCAATATTTAATACAACATCCATTATTCTCGGAACAACTTTTTGTTTGATTTGATACATTAATTTGAATAGAAAAAAAATTCGTAATTGTTGTGATATCTCAATTCAAAATTTCAATTTTTTGGCATAAGAATCTCCAAATTTGTTACCAATAAAAATGAGATTCGTATTTATGAAATGAATTAAATTTTGGCATAAGAATCTCTAAATTTGTTACCTTAATGATCTCCAAATTTGTTACCTTAAGAATCTCCACATTTTTTGGGATATCTCCCTTAAATTTGATTTCTAAATATTCACATGTGTTTTTTTCAAAATTTCTACTAATAGTAAGTCAACACTTTATTTTTAAAGTCAAAGTTACTATTTTTGTATTTTTTCAACAACCTCTTTATATTACTATAGATTGTTGGACGATATTGATAAGTCAACAAAATCAGCAGATTAATTGTGTTAGAATCTGTTTTTTTTTTCCTGTTTTTTGGGTATTGAAAATCGCGTTATAAAATCTCATAGCATAATTCTAAAGTTTATCTCTTATCTGTTACAAAATCTCATTGCCTACGTCTCACGAGTTTAAAAAACCTCATCTCTTATCTATAAAGATTTAAAAAATAAAATAAAATAAAAACTAAATCATAATTACTACTAGAATTTCATTATCTACTTTAAAAAGCTAATTTTCATCGGTCTAATTACTAATATTTTTACAAATATTATAAGCTAACAATATATCCTCGATAACAACGTAAAAAGTATAATAATAATCGTGTGTAATTGTTGTAATAATTTTCCGGAGTAGAATCGAAAGACTCGAACACCGGATCGTGTCTCACGAGGAAGGTCAGCCGGAATATTCTGCACGTTTATTCAAGCACTAATAAAAGAAATAAATTTCCTAAACATTCTAATTCAAATGATTTGGTTTGATTATCAACTACGAAAAACTTCAATTAAAGCAAATATAAATAGCAAGCAATCAACGAAGAACAAATAGGATTTAAGGAGCTAGGGAGTCGGGGATATCCGTTTTGGTTCGAAAATGTAATTGTCAAGCAAGAGATTGTTCGGTTAAGTGATTTGACTAATCGACACGTTCAAACACTCATTCTCAATAACTTTTCGTAACAAGAGAACAAACTAGAACGGCAAATTAACAATTCATTTAACTTCTAGGCAATACAGTTACGAACAAGCCTAGTTCATACGAGCCTATTTCGACCGACTCCTCCCCTTTCGGTTCTAAGAGTCGATTAAAGTAGACTAGAAAGTGTTTAATCAACTAGTCCGTATAGAATAACCAACATCAAGCAAGAGTAAATCGAACTCAATTGCAAGCAATTGGTGATTGAAGTGTCACCCTTCAACAATTCTAATTACTCGAGCCTGAAAATTGAAAAACCCTAGAAAAAGATCAACTCGTATGAAATTGAACAATCTTGAGCCCGACAATCACAAACGATAACAAAACATCAATCCCCTATCCCTAGCATATGAATTTAGCTACTCATCATCAATTCCACATCAACATCAATATCAATCAAAGCCATCATCATCACAGATAAAATGTAATAGAAAGCTTACGATTAAATATGAATCCAATGTCGAAAAAAACAACGAACAATCCAAATCCACAAGTCGAATCTTGGTGTTTTCACAATCCAAGATCGAATCCCGATCAAAACTAAGAGAAAAAGGAGTTCTGGAGTGAAAAGGGACGAGAGAATATCAAAACCTAGGTGGAAGATGATGAAAATCTGATCTAAAAATCGAATATAAATTTCTGCACGTCGCGATCTCCGAGGCCGGGACCACTCCTCCGCGGCCGCGGTGAAGGAACACCCGCGGCCGCGACCATCCCCGAGGCCGCGAGCTCGACTGGCCAGAAATGGGCGTTCTGGGACTCTCGCGGCCGCGACTACCTCCTCCGCGGCCGCGGTGAAGAAATCTGGGCAGCTGCGCGCTGCTTTACGTTTCGAGCTCGTTTGGGCTCGTCCGAACTCGGAATTGAGTTCCGTTTTTTGCTATGCGTCACCAACGAACCCATCTATCCAGTTATGCTCTCAAAACCAACTTTTTCTGAAGAGAAAATTCGCCCGAAGCTCCTGACCTACACACCAAAAACCACAAAACACAAAAGAAAACCGGAAAAACAAACGAAAAACACCTAAGGATTCAAGATGAAGGAAAACACATAATAAAACACGAAACAGACTAAAAACTAAAGAAACGACCTAAAATGGGAAAAAAGAAAGATAAAATAAACACGAAAAACGCAACAAAAATGAGACAAACAATAATCAAATTTTTTAGATGGAAGTAACGCCAGTATCATCTGACATAATGTCTTTTTTAAATTATGCTTATAATATTTTAGATATTTTAAATAAATTGTTTAGACATTCTTTTTACATATTCGTCTATATATATATATAGGGTTGAGTTCACATGAGAATGGTGCTTTGTGAGAGAAATAAGAATAAATCGTAGCCATTAGATCATTCGATCTAATGGCTAAAAAATAACCAAAATTATACTTTCATTAAGGTATTTTAGATATTTTCATATACATATCAATGGGACCCACACCAAATATTCATTAACCAACCTGCCTATTATGCGACGTCACCACCATCACCACACACACACACACACACACACAAAAACGCACGAACACACACACACACCCCTGCGCACAAACACACACAGAATTTCAACCGCCGGTAGCCACTCCACCGTCGCCACTGCCAGCCACCAGTTGCCCGCCATCCTACCTCAGCCATGTTAGATCTATTTGGAATTAAATATGTGTAATTAATACATTGGGTCATTATAGTGTTTAGCCAAATTAAGTGATAAAATTATTGTACATTGGCTAAGGAACTTAATTTAGATTGTGGAATGATTAAATGTGGACACCCGGTAATATTATTATTTGGTGACGTAGCAAATAATAATATTAAACTAAAGGACCTAAATAGCATATAATTTGGGTCAAAATTATTTATGGGTGGAGTCCCCAAAAGCCGTGAAAATAAAATGATGCACATAAGGATAAACCATACGGAATAAAATAATAACGTTGGTTGGTGGTAGTTGCCAGTTGGTAAGCTACAGACAAAATTTCATTAAATGTGATTAGTTGTCACTAATCAATAAAAAGGGAGGTTAGAGGCATCATTTGTAAACAAGTTTTTCTTTCAATACGTCCGAAAGGAAAAATAAAGAAAACTAAAGAAAATTCACGGTCTTTTGGAAGATTTCCAAATCTCAAATTCAAATAATCAACATGAATCAATCAGGTACGCTTCCGCTATTAAGTTATGATTCTCGATTATTCAATATGAAAGATTTTGGGATTAATCGATTTATTTCGAAAGTTAAATCCAATTCTAACAATTGGTATCAGAGCCTATTCATATTGAATTTATGGGAAT